GCTTCACCACCCATTTATCCCTCCGCCTTTCAACCAGCACCACATGTGATTATTGGCCAGGCTGGCACAATTAACTAACTCAATGGCATAGGCACAAACTGGAAATTCTGCTCTAAAATGGGCACTTATTATTGTTTTTATGATATCTGTATTCATTTCCTTGGGCCGCTATAGCAAAATACCACAAATTTAGTGGCTTAGGAATTTATTCTGGAGGCCAAATATCTAAAATCTAGGTGTTGGCAGGGAGGGGTCTGCTCCCTCTGTAGGTTCTAGCAGGAATCCTTCCTTGCCCCTCGTGTCTTCTGGTAGTTGCTAGTAATCCTAGTTGTTTCTTGATTTGTAGTTTGTCATTCCAGTTTCTACTTCTGTCTTTATGTGACCTTCTTTCCCATGTCTCCTCTCTGTCGCTGTGTCCAAATCTCCTCTTTAGAAAGACCATAGTCTTTGGATTTTATGCCTACCCAAATGACGTGACCTCAATTTAGCTTGATTTCATCAGCAGAGACCCTGTTTCCAAATAAAATGATATCCCACGATTTGTTTTTAGTTGTCAGTGGGTTGCTTTCGAATCACAGGGACCCTGTGTCCACCAGAAAGAAACCCTGCCTGGCCCTGTGCCACCCCTGCAACTGTCGTTACATTTGAGCCCATTGTCCAGCCCCCGTGGCTATCCATCATGTCTTCCTCTTTTCCTTGACCCACTACTTTATCAAGCATGAAGTCCTTCTCCAGGATCTAGACCTTCCTGAAAACACATCCAAGGTGCTTAAGACAAAGTCCTGCCACCCTCCTTTAGGAAGAGCGTTCTGGCTGCGCTTTTTCCGAGACAGACTTATTTCTTCTTCTGGCAGTCCATGGTGTCTTTAATAGTTTTAATCAATACTTTAATGCAAAGGCTTCCATTCTTTTTTGGTCTTCCTTATTCATTGTCCAGCTTTTACATACATGTGACGACTTATTTCCTTTGGGGGGCAATACAGCCCAACCCTTTACAAAATCAGAATTTGTTTTGAAATCTATTTTAGTATTGGAAAAGGCAGTTTGCCGTATTCTTTCTAATAAAGTCATGCAGGATTAAATTGTCTTATTCAGATGATAGAATTGTGTTTGACAAGCATATACAGTAGCAATTTTACATTGTGGCAGATAGTCAATGAAAGATATTAACCTGTTGAAAAGGCTAAACTTATTAAATTTTAAGTGACAGACAGTACTGGAAGAAACCAGAAAATAAGGAAGCAGGAGTGCCTGCCAAGTGCTGAGAATTGTACTGTGTGCATTGCATACATGGTCTTGGGTCATCTTTTTGACCACTTTCTGAGAGGACAATGTGATCATTCACCTTTCGCTGACAGGGCAGCCGGGCTTAGAATGCTGAACAATGTCAGGATCACATAGAATAACCAGTGCTTGAATACAAGTCTTCTGATTGCAAGGGCAGCGCTCTTTCCAGTAGTGTTTGTGCTATTGTTGTTGACAGGAACTTAGTCTTCTTATTTGTATACACAGCTGAAAAATCGGTATAATAGAGAAGCACATGATATTTAATCAAAAGAGCTGACTTAATTTCCATCTCTCAGATTCCTCTCTATGTGTTTTGTCTTGGCTTTTACTTAAAATGATTCATAAATAAATTTATAAATACCTCTTTTGATCAGAACACTAAGCCTCAGAACACGAAGCCTCAGAAGCAAAATAGGATTATGGATTGCACAGCCAATGGCTAAGCGAAAAGTCTGAGCTAGAACTTCTGTTGAATCCAGTACTTGCCATTTAAAAGCCTTTTTGAGTTGCCAATTTGCTAGAAACAGAATGCTCCTTAGAGTTTCTTGATTGCAGAAGCATCCAATCTTAGAAGAAGCACAACGGTCTTCAGACATTTCTGTTTATACGATTTCTCCCAAACCTGAAAGATAGCGTTCCCCATACCTGGTTATAAACTATGAATCCCGTGTGTCCAGTATTTTGGGTGGTTAGAGAAACCGTGTTCCCACGGCTTTGTGCCAGGCCATGTTTTCTCAGAGTTCGCTAGTCACGCGCTCATCATTTTTGCCTTGGACCTTTTCCACGGCAGCTTGTTTTATTTACTTTGACCCCAGGAACTATGTTCTGCCAGTTGTTTCATTTCCATTTAATAGAAATCTTCCTTTGGAGGAACTATATTTCATTTCCTTCTCTCACTAGATGACAGTATTGGAAAATGAAGACTAGATTAATAACCGATAAGCAGGCCAGTTGGACTATGATGATTGAAAAGTTACATGCCCTGGACTCATGTACCTTCCCTGCCACGCTCCAAAAGGAGAAAATGTCCTGGTGGTGTCAAATTGATGTGTCTTGGTGCGTCCATTGTTCATTCAATTAATAGGATTTCATTCTTGAATTACTGTGATCTGGCTAGTTAAATGGGGCTATATCCAGTCTCATTTGCCTATTTTTGTTGTTTTCATCAGTTAATTGGAACTAGGTCTTTCTGACCAATTCAGTCGGAATCTTGGCTAATCACTCCTAAAACTATCTGAATGTACTAGAGTATTGTTCTACCATCAGCTGTGTCATCCTTTAATTCACTTGTACTTTTTTAAAGTGTCACTTTAACTAGGTTTAAAGGTACTCAAGGAAAACAAATGTTTTGAGGCAATTTGATTTTTGATGGCCTGAGGTTATACTATTTGGCCTGCCTCTGTTTCTCAGTACAAAAAAATTTCCAGATAGCTTGCTCATCTGCTGAACAGAAGATTCCTTGGGATAGTAACTTTTTCATTTTGTCATAACAAAATGCTACAAAAGGGTGGCTTTAATGACCAGAATCTATATTGTCTCTGTTTTGGAGGCTAGAAGGCCCAATCAACGGATTGACTCTATGAGACGGTTCACATGGCTTGTTTTGACTATTCATTGAGAGAGAGAGGAAAGAGAGAGAGAGAGAGAGAGAAAGAAATGTTTAGGAGAATTAGTGGCATTTAATTTACTCTTCATAATTATCACCTAATAGTGGTGGTACAGTCTTTGTGCACAGAACATTCTGTGACCAGTTTCTATATTGACCTGCCTTGTTTTGTGTAGGCAATGGGTTTGGGATCAAAAGATCAGGATTTGCATGTGGGCACCATCACTGCCCCAGAGCAGATGGTGCTTAGTTCTAGGTTTCTCTCTTGCCAACTTCCAAAGACTATTTTGAGAGCCATAACGAAATAGAATATATAAAATTGCTTTAAGCTGTTGACTACCAAGTAGATAGAGGTGCTGAGTTCACTAGTTTTCACTGGCTAACTTAAAAATTGTGAACTCCTAGAGTTCGCCTATGCCTTATTTTTTAAGGAGACTTAGGATAAGTCTGTTGTATTTGGGAAGAATAAATGTGTAAATTACTAAGTTTTACTACCAGGAACATATGCTCCCTTTTGAATCATACAAGTTGACTTCATCATAAAAATGTATAATGTGTTTTCAAAAGCAGTATTGTACTATCTGACATTATTCTTTTAATATTTTCAGGGTTGGCAACACAATGGCGGGAAACAGCCTAGTCCTACCCATCGTTCTTTGGGGACGAAAAGCACCAACACACTGTATTTCAGCTGTGCTTTTAACAGATGATGGGGCCACCATCATCACAGGATGCCACGATGGGCAGATATGTCTCTGGGATGTTTCAACAGAACTGGAAGTGAGTATGCCCCATGTAGACGCTCAGGTGGCATAGTGGTTATGCATTGGGCTAGGATCTACAGGGTCAGCAGTTTGAAACCACCAGCCTCTCTTGAGGGAGGAAAGTGGGGCTCTCTACTCTCGTAAAGAGTTACCATCTCAGAAACTCATAGGCAGTTCTACCCCGTCCTATAGGGTTACTATGGCAGTGAGTTTGGTTCTGAATGTCTGGATATCTCAGGTACATAGTAAACATAAGAAACAATTTATCAGAAAATAGTACAGTCCAAGACTAACAGTTGGGCTCACAATATTACTTGTGAGATATATTTTATTAAGATTGGCATTGGTATTATCTGATTGATTACTTGCTTTAGTCATCAAAACTGATTTATGCTGATTTTTACTATTTTAAAATATACTGCCTAATCTAAGTGACTTTTTTATTACATTTAAGATGTTTCAAAAGAGAACGACAAACAGTCCACTTAAAAAGTGGAGGAAGGCCTTGAATTAGTATGTCTCCAGAGAAGACATACAAATGCTAACAAGCTTCTGAAAAGATGCTCACGATTGTTAGTTCCTCTTATTCTGAGCAGCCATCAAATCCACCCCAGCCCCTGGGAACTCATGCAAGTCAGAATACAACACCGTCTACTCCTGTAATGTCCATGGATGTGATTGGCAGTGCATCAGAGGACTGAAATCCAGACAGTTTTTGTTGACTGGTTTTGAACTTGTTCGGCACCTTGGCACCATGGAAGCCTTCCTGACATCGGAGTGGTGGCTCTGCATGAGGAACATTGGCTGGGAATAGACCCCAGAGCTGCGGAGTGGAAGGCAGCAATTCTACCACTGGCCCCCAAATGCCCTGTTTTTATGCATTAGGGAAATGCACACCAGAACCACAAACAATGATGCTGTCATCTCATACCAAGTTGATGGCTTTGGGAGGAAAACAGAAAATTACCTGTTGGGTAGGGTGTGGAGAAATTGGAAATCCTCGTACATTGTTGGTCGGAAGGTAAAATGGCGTAGCTGCTATCGGAAGCTGATCATTCCTTAAAAGGATAAAAGGTTTAAGTGTAGACCCAACCATTCTCATGTGTTTGAATGTAAGAGAAAACTTGGATGCATGAGAAAATGTTCTAGGCCCATTCTAGCCATGAACAATGAATGGAGTGTCAGAGGAAACCAGCTTCCAGCAACCAAAGGGCCAGGAGGTGCAAATGTGTGGCACTAATATATAAAGATTACAGTAAAGTCATAGAGGATAAGAAAGATAGGAGAGAGAGTAAAATACAGGAGACAGACCCATCTTACGGTAGCAAGCTCACCTCAGCTCCTCTTGATGAACCACATGGAGCTGGGATAAGTGAGAGAGAACCTTTACTCTCTTGGGACATTTATAGGTAGTCATAAAATATGCATATGCAGTAGTTACATGTGCCACAAGATGGGTGGTAACTACATTAAGGTCCCTGAGCTCACAGGTGAGGAAACCTGCATTGGGGGAAGGGACAAGGGGGGTTGGGTGTCACTGCAGGAAGAGAGAGCAAAAGGAAAATGTCTGCTTCTTTGGGGAGATAGAATCAACCATGTGGTCACTTTAAGGCAGCATAGCTGTTAAGGGGAGAATTTGTGGGAATTATTTTAAAGCAGGACAATGTACTTGGACTTTACTTCTAACTTATCAAAGGGGAGGCTTTCCTGCTGTGAAAGACCAGCTTTCCAGATTCGCTGTTATAAGTTAGAGAATATAGCCCTCATCATGTTTCCCTCAGTGTTAGTTCCCACAGTAGAGCTTTCTTGTAGTCAAAAATGTGCAAAAGATGGCCAAGGTGCATTCGATTTTGAGTCGTTTTTCATCCATCATTCACCAGAACCAAACCCAAACCTGCCATGGCGTCGGTTCCAGCTCTTAGCAGCCCTCTTGGCAGGGCAGAGCTGCCGCGTGGTTTCTGAGACTGTCAATCTTCACAGGAGCAGACGGCCTCGTCTTTCTCCTGGGGAGATTCGTCTTTCTACACCAGGGCAGTAGAGAAATCTCCATGTCTTTCTACACCAGGGCAGTAGAGAAATCTCCATGTCTTTCTACACCAGGGCCGTAGAGAAATCTCAATGTCTTACCCCAGGGCTGTAGAGAAGTCTCCATGTCTTTCTACACCAGGGCCGTAGAGAAATCTCCATGTCTTTCTA